TCTAGCTCTTCAAACAGCTCTCGGTCCGTCTTGTCTGGGCTGATCGTTTCCTTTTGTCTCAAAATAGTCCTTGGCATCTCCAAGGCCTCAGTCCACAGCCTCACTATCTTCTTGCCAAAGGCGAGCGGGAAGTTCCTGGGCAAGTTTGGGCACAGGTTCATATACGCGGGTGTGGATAAGACGTCTCGAGTGGCCTTTCTTCGTCTCCACTAGTCTTTATACTAGTACGTTATATGGTAAAAGAAAAGGCCAACTGGCAATCAAGTTGGGAAGTTGAGCCCCCTGCCCTGTTTTTTCAGTTCCGATGTTCCTTGGAAGCCTGCCTTGCCAGTTTTTGAAATGGTCTTGCCTCAGCACACGCTGAAGGCATGGAAAGTTCCACTCACATTTTGTGAAGGCTCAGCAGGCATCAGTCAGGTTTGATCAACATGTGTTTTCCTAGCAGGCTATAAATTCTAGCGGCGTGTGGGCTTCGCTTCACAGTCCTCTCGCTGCCTCTTGGTCAACTTCCCTTCATCCTCAGGCTTTCCAAACTCATGAGGACTATTCCCCCCAAGAACCACAAAGAAGAAAGTTCCACTGGGACCTGCACCAGCCCACCCACCAGGTGCTTCTCGTTCGACCAGCACACCTGCCTTTTGGGAGACTCGCCTCCATAGTGCGCCATCCAAAAGTATGATTTCCACATCTCGGAGGTTGTCAGTGCAATTGGTTTTGTACAAGGTTGCTATTAAAAGGATTTCTGATCAATCAACCTTTGCTGAGGGGAGTACGTAGATCACTTCTTCGGTGAACCAAGAAAATCGGTTGTGGTAAACGATCACTTGGTCGCTGCCCACAGGTTGCTCGAGAAGTATCATTCCTGATACTGCTATAGTTAATACCATCAGAAGGACCACCCTTAGATAAGCATGAGATCATGCAAGCGAATCAGACGCACAAGAAACCCGTTCCAAAAACAAACTTCTTTCAAGAAACCTGGAAATTGTTCTGTTGCCACTGTGAACAAATCCGTGCTGCATAGCCCCATAGAAATTTACTACGGACCTTTGGCTCGTTCCTCTACTCACCACTGTCCAACTCGAGCACTGTGGCGCAAACACCGCCAAGCCATTTGGCACCAGTGAAAGGATCAAGCTGATGCATAGCCTGAGTCCATCCTATATCCACTGAAAAGGAGCTGGGCGCTAGTAGTTACCCTGTAGCTTCAACTGCAATAAAGGCATTGTCAGCCCAGGGGCGCAAAACCCGCAGAACCCTCAAAGTTCATGTTGCGATGGTCGTGGATCCAATCAAAATACGCAGTAGGCCTTCCGCTTTCACGAAAAGCTTGGTTGAGGCGGCCCTTGCCTGAAAAGATCTCCACACATTGGTACTGGCAGGAGGTATCCACATTGGTCGTCCATAGAAGTGCCAGGACCTGGGCCGGATGAGTAATAGGCCACGACACGGGGTGGAAACTACTTGGGTCCCAGCTATAGCTATGAAGACCTGAATGGGCACACGCTGGAAGCAATTGAGCTTAATCTTTGCTCATGCACTTTTCTAAGACGTGCTACCTGAGATCCTAGCTTTAGGAGCTCTCATTTGAATGAGGTTGGCCACCACAGACTCATCCCGGTTTCGCTCAGGCATTTTATATGCCGACCCCTAGCTAAAACCGTTTGAGCCAACCCTTTGCACAGTTGGCTGTCACTGGCATCACTGGAATTCTGAAAAGAAAAGGTTGCCACCGACATGGTTTCCAATTGTACACCCTCTACATTAATTCTTATTGAGTGTGGGGAACATATTTAAAGAATTTTGAGACCACATTGGCTGCAACCTTTAGATCAGCTATAGTAGAATCACCTGACTGAATGAAAGAAAGAGCCAGGGACACCGCTGCTGGCATTGGCATTGAATCCGCCTTTGGTGCGGGGGCTCAATCGACACCAAAAGCAACCAGCTGCTGGATGACCAGCTCAAAAATTTGGCCCTGCCTTTGAAGCTTGTCAACTGGTGCAAGGTCCAGGGGGGTTTGACCTTGTGAAGTCAACTGCCACAATTGTTTGTGGAAAGAAGTATAATTGTTTAAGGGATATGCAACTGTACAGCGGCTCAGGCTGGGGCTGAGCAAGCTACATCACGGAGTTGACGGAGGCCAGCAAGCAGCCCAAAAGCATGCAGTGCAATCAAACATGAAGTTTCCAAAAGTATGCCGGCAGCACGCATAGTGGGGGCCAATCTCACAGCCCATTTTTCAAAGCTTGCGCGTGGCATAGTACCTGTGAACAATATACATCATACATCTAAATTGGCTTTTGATTGCAAGCCGGCACATGCTCAAAAGCACACGCTCATGCAAAAATGGACCTTTTGCTTCAGACTTACGCTTCTTCAGAGTGCATTCACGAAAGCTCTTTCGCGCTAGCTGAACCCCAGCCCAAATCCATCAAGGATTTGGGAAAATGCCCCAAGTTAAACACTAGAATCACTTAAGGATTGAGATCTCCATGGGTCAGATCTCGAACGCTTGCATTAATTGCAGCGCTCCAACAAAAGCGCTCTGGCATCTCTCACAATCTGTAGAGCCCGCTAGCTAGCTCGTCTCCTTGTAGGCCTTCAGGGAATGTGTCGATCCAGAGAAGCTCTATATAGTGTTTGTGGATGAGCGGTAAACGGTAGAAGGCCCTACAACCCAAAACATATAAGCTTTGCGCCTTGCGTCCAGCCAGCTTTGCCTCTTCAAGGCTTTTCTCCTCCTCATTCAATGCATGCGCGTATGCTCTGCGATAGGCCGCAGACTTTCTTGCATTCCTCGCCTTGGCTTCAGCAGTTGGTTTGTACCTTTTCTGCTTTGGCTGCGCATCTTCCCTCTTTTCATCTTCTTCATTGGAATCCTCCTCCTCTTCTCCTTCTGCCTCCTTGGCTTTGCTCCTCTTTCCTTTTGGCTTCACGTCTTCTTCAGCCTCCTCTGCTTCAGCCTCCTTGGCTTTGCTCCTCTTTCCTTTTGGCTTCACGTCTTCTTCAATGTCCTCTGCTTCAGCCTCCTTTGCTTTGCTCCTCTTTCCTTTTGGCTTCACGTCTTCTTCAGCCTCCTCTGCCTCAGCCTCCTTTGCTTTGCTCCTCTTTCCTTTTGGCTTCACGTTTTC